CACCTATAAGTGAGGACATGTTTGTACTCACTCACTCATGAGTGAGTATATGTTTGTCTTTCTGGGTCTAGGTTACCTCACTCAGGATGAATTTTTCTGGTTCTATCCATTTGCCTGCAAATTTCCTGATGTCATTGTTTTTAACAGCTCAGTAATACTCCATTGTGTAAATTACCACACACAAAAGAAAAGATGTTTTCCCATTCTGTGGGCTGCAGTTTTGTCCTTTTGACAGTGTGATTTGCCTTACAGAAGCTTTTCAGTTTCATGTGGTCCCATTTATTAATTGTCAATCTTAGTGTCTACGCTATTGGTGTTCTATTCAGGAGGTTGGCTCCTATGCCAGTGTGCTCAAGACTATTCCCCATTTTCTCTTCTATCAAGTTCAGTGTATCTGGATTTATGTTGAGGTCTTTGATCCACTCGGACTTGAGTTTTGTGCAGGTGATATATATGGATCTATTTGCATTTTTCTACATGCAGACATACAGTTAGACCCCATCATATGTTGAAGATGCTTTGTTTTCTCCATTTTATAATTTTGGCTTCATTGTTGAAAATCAGGTGTCCATAGGTGTGTGGATTTACATATGGGTCTTCAATTCAACTCCACTGATCCACCTGTCAAATTTTATGCCAATACTATGCAGTTATTATTATTATAGTTCTGTAGTAGATCTTGAAACCAGGGTTTGTAATACCTCTCACAGTTCTTTTATTGTACAGGATTGTTTTAGCTATCATGGATTTTTGTTTTTCTATAGTAAGTTGAGTATTGTTTCAAGGTCCGTAAAGAATTGTGTTGGGATTTTAATGGGGATTACATTGAATCTGTAGATTGCTTATGGTAAGATTGCCATTTTTACTATGATAATCCTACCAATCCATGAGCATGGGAGAGCTTTCCATTTTCTGATATCTTCTTCAATTTCTTTCTTCATAGACTTGAAGTTCTTGACATACAGGTCTTTCACTTGCTTAGTTAGAGTTACATCAAAACATTTTATATTATTTGTGGCTGTTGTGAACAGTGTTATTTCCCTGATTTCTTTCTCAACCTATTTATCATTTGTATATAAGAGGGCTATTGATTTTCTTACTTAATCTTGTATCATGCCACTTCACTAAAGGAGTTTATCAGCTGTAAGAGTTCCCTGGTAGAATTTTTGGGGTCGCTTTTGTATATTAACACATCATCTGTGAACAGTGATACTTTGACTTCTTCCTTTCCAATTTGTATCCCCTTGATCTCCTTCAGTTGTCTTATTGCTCTAGCTAGAACTTCAAATATTATACTAAATAGATATGGAGAGAGTGGACAGCCCTGTCTTGTTTTTGTCTTTATTTTAGTGGAATTGCTTTGAGCTTCTCTCCATTTAATTTGATTCTGGCAATCAGCTTGCTGTATATTGCCTTATTATATTTAGGTATGCTCCTTGTATCCCTAATCTCTCTAAGACTTTAATCACAAAGGAACATTGAATTTTGTTAAAGGCTTTTCCCAGAATCTAATGAGATGATCATGTGGGTTTTTTGTTGTTGCTGTTGTTTCATAAATTTATTTCTTTATTTAGTTTATATTGCGGCCACAATTTCCCCTCCCTCCTCTCCTCCCAGTCCCTACCCCTCACCCCTCCTCTGTTCCCACCCCCACAGTCCACTCCTCCTCCATTTTGTTTAGGAAAGGGCAGGTCTCCCATGGGTATCAACAAAACATGGCATATCAAGTTGCAGTAAGAATAAACACCTCCCCATGTGCTGGGCAAGGTGACCCAGTATGAGGAGTAGGGTCCCAAAATCCAGTAAAAGATTTGAAGACTGCCCCTGTTCCCATTGTTAGGAGTCCCACAAGAGGACCAAGCTACCACTCTTGGGCATATACCCAAAGGATGCTCAATCACTCACCACAAGATCATGTGGGTTTTTTCTTTCAATTTGTTTATATGGTAGATTACATTGACTGATTTTCCTATGTTGAACCATCCCTGCATCGCTGGAATGAAGCCTATTTGATCATGGTAGATGATCTTTTTGATGTATTCTTGGATTCAGTTCGTGAGTATTTTGAGTATTTTTGCATTAATGTTCATGGGGGAAACTGATTTTGTAATTCTCTTTGTTGAATATTTGTGTTGTTTGTGTATCAGGGTGACTGTGGCCTCATAAAATAAATTGGACAATGTTCCTCTGTGGTGGTATTGTGTTCCCCAAAATAGTGTGAGCTAATAAACTTATCTGGGGTCAGAGAACAGGACAGCCACAATATTAAACATAGAGGATAGGCAGTGGTAGCACATGCCTTTAATCCTAGCATTCCAGAGGCAGAAATCCCTCTGGATCTCTATGAGTTCAAGGCCACATTGGAAATAGCCAGGCATGGTGACACATGCCTTTAATCCCAAGAAGTGAGCCTTTAATCCCAGGGAGTGATGGCAGAAGGCAGAAAGATTATAAGGCATGAAGACCAGAAACTAGAAGCATTTGGCTGGTTAAGCTTTCAGGCTTCTAGCAGCAGTTTAGCTGAGATCTATTTGGATGAGGACTCAGAGGCTTCCAGTCTGAGGAAACAGGACCAGCTGAGGAATTGGCGAGGTGAGGTAGCTGTGGCTTGTTCTGCTTCTCTGATCTTCCAGCATTCACCCCAATAACTGGCCTCAGGTTTGATTTTATTAATAAGACCTTTTAAGATTCGTGCTACATTCCTCCTGTTTCTATTTTGTGGACTAATTTGAGTAGTATTCGTATTAACTCTTCTTTGAAAGTCTGGTAGAATTCTGCACTAGAAACTTTTAATGACTATCTCTATTTTTGGGGGGATTATAGGTCTATTTGAATTGTTTATCCGATCTTGATTTAACTTTGGTAAATGGTATCTATCAAGAAATTTGTCCATTTCTTTTAGATTTTTCAATTTTATGGAATACAGGTTTTTGAAATATGACTTAATGATTATCTGGATTTCCTCAGTTTCTGTTGTTATGTCCCCCTTTATGTTTATGATTTTGTTAATTTGGATATTCTCTTTCTGCCTTTTGGTTAGTTTTTGATAAGGGTTTGTCTTTCTTATTGATTTTCTCAAAGAACCAACTTCCTTTCACTGATTCGCTGTATTGTTCTCTTTGCTTCTAGAGCCAGTAAAGAAACTGTCTTTATTGCAAAAAATGGTTTTCCGTCCTGTATCCCATCACTATCTTTACCTGTCATTGACCATTTAGGAAACAAGGTCAAGAGAACTGCCCTTTCTAGAAGAGGACAAATATCTGGATTCCTCCAACCTCTAACTCAAGTTTCATGACATCACCAAGCATGGAAGGTATATCAGGAAAACCACAAGAATCTAGGGTTTCATCTACAGATTAGAGGCCCAGTGATTTCTCTGGTTGCTCAAGGTCATTGAATGCTCCAGGGAATGCTGTTAGTGGTTCCCTGGACCAAGAAAGCCAGGAAGATGTGTAGTAAGCCCTTTCTGTGTGGGGATTGAATTGTAGCAGGGCACTTGGGGAACCACACTGGAAATCTGCCTATTTTTTCCATCCTGACAGTAATCTTGAATGCTTTCAAAAGGCCAGCAGAACTGACTCTGAAAATACCTCCATGACTTAATGTGAAACTTGGGAGGAGGAAGTCAAGGGAAGCTGTGACACACACCCAGTTCCAGTCAGGCAAACCAGATGCCCAAGAAAGCAGCAGAAGTCACTGCTAGCCCCATCAATGTCATCTTGGAGCTGCCAGTAATCCAGTGCTTACCTGTCCTGGGTGTCAAGTCATTCACTCCACCTGAAAAAAGGCTGCTTTAGCCTCACTGCACGTATGAAATGCCAGAACTAACATGTAAGACTACTACTTCTCAAATCTTTCCATGGAAAAGTGGCAGCAAGTTCATCACTAAGTCTAACTGCAAATGCAGTGTTACCATGGCAAGACAGCTAATTAGTAAGCAGAGGGGAGCAAGAGGGGAAAGAGACCCTTTAATTCTCCAGTTCTGATTTCCACTTCTCACTCATTGGCACCCAGGAATTTCCATGTAATTACCCAGGCCACCTGAGAAATATCACACATGGGATTGTTAAAACTGTGCCTTATTATGTATTACTTGTGCTTCAGGTCTAATCCCTTTGTGGCCTATATGTATAAGGATTCCTTGATGATTATTTTCTCTCTACCCACACTCCTTTCTCCACCTGCAAGCCAGTGAGATTTACAAAGAAGTTTCTACTTCAAGGACAGAATTCTGTGGAAAATAAAAGCGAGTATCCAAGTATATACTGTCTCCAATAGCTAAACTCAGTTTCAGATGAAGCAGCTTTAAAACCCCCAAATAACACATGTAGCTATTGCTGAGACACTTGGGTGTATTTATCTCCTACCATTCACATTTGACTCCCTTCTAGCCCATTCTGTCTTCTGCTCAATCAACAAACCTGCTAACTTTGCTTTGACCCAGCCTCAAGTACTTTTCTATGGTAGATGTCAAGCATCTGTATGCACCTGAGTAGAGGCCCCAAGACTTGATGGGGACTCCTGGGGCCACACTGCCAGCAAAGTTGACTTGTACTTCTTATTAATATTTCAGCCTGCAGGTCTTAAGAGACATACAGTAAGCAATGCTGCATGAAACCAATCCAAGCATCTCATTTAATTCTTTTTGCAGGTGCTTGAGTGCAGAGGGAGAGGCAATGTGAAACATGGAGAATGGGACTGTTTTGACTAGTATGGAACTATGTAGATGGAATCTCTCCTCATGCTGGTAGTCAGCTGTTCCTGGCCTGTTTTACTTACAAAATGTACTACTTTCTCATCATCTGACCTTAGGTGACTCACTTAAGACTCTTAATTTTCAGCTTCTAACCTATAAACCAGAGTGTATAGTGACAATCTAAAAGGTTGTTGTCAAGATGACAATGAGGGAAACCAGATACAATGCACAGCATGGAGCAAATGCTCAATTTCAGCAATTTTCAAATCATATCTTTCCCAGAAAGCAACAACTTGTGACTTACCCCTTGTAAGACTTGAAAGCTGTCATTGTTAGGTGGTGGGTCTTGATCTGGGTCAACACCAACTCTAAAAGTCACCGGGGAAGACAAGGAGAAAAACAAAAAGCATTAGCTTGGACCATGGCAGCCTTGCTGGCTTAGTCAGCAACTATCTTCCCAAAGCAGGAGTGGTTAGCTTCAAGGAAACAAAGGTCATCATGCAGAAGTCAGGTCCACACCACAGCAGATCCCAAAGAGTCAGATATTATAAGTACTCCATGCCCTTAGCAAGGCCTCTGGGAAATATGCTGGCAGCTTTCCATCTGCCTTCCTGTACCAAGCGGTCCTCACTACTAAAACATTGGTTCCTTCTGTTTGGCTGCTTCCTCACTTCTGCCCTGAACTGCTTTGATGCTCACAATATTTTGTTATGAATCTGTAGTAAACATCTGCATGGTTACCAAGAGTCTACCATTAACATTTATTATAGCTTCTTTATTACCATCTTCCCATTTCTCCATCCCACATCTTATTTTGTGATACAAATGAAGCAGTGACATCAATACCTTTCTTCTAATTTCTTGTGTGTATGCTTATACATGTGCTTACATGTGCAAACATATGTGTGTGTGTAGGCCAGAAGTCAAACTTAGGTGTCATTCTTCAGAAGCCATCCACCTTGTTTTTCGAGATTGGGACTCTCATTTGGCCTAGATATCACCAATTAGATTTTGCTGACTGCTCAGCAAGCCCAAGAGATTTGCCTATCTCCCCAGTGCTGACATTATAAACGTGCACCACCATATCCAGCTTTTGACATAGATTCTGGAAATTAAACTCAGGTCCTCATACTTGTACAGCAAACACTTCACTGACAGCCATCTCCCAAGCCTCCCTTCCCCTGACTTCTTTAGTATGCATAAATGATAGAATCTCTCCTTCTTCCAAACTTGAGTCAGGCTTTTTTGAATCGTCCTCCCAACTAGGACTTAACTTTTGGGCTTCTTCCTATTGCATCACCAAGTTTTATCAAGAATCTTCTTAAACTGGTTTAGCCAGAACTCCCAACTTTGATATCTGATACCCCTCAATAGCTGATGTCCCTGCCACCTTTCAAGTGATATCTGATCTCCATGGCCTGCCTTTAGCAAGAGTATCCCCTTATCCCTGATATTTCCTCTTGGCAAATTTCATCCATCAATCCCTATCACTCTTTCACACTGCAAAACTATATCACAGTAGACTCTATGTCAGTCATAGTAATCCTCACTAAAGTCTGTTTGCCTTTTTTGTGGGGAGGGGAGTACGGTTTTTGAGACAGAGTTTCTGTGTAGCTCTGGCTGTCCTGCAACTCACTCTGTAGTTTTAACAAGTATCACAATACTTTCTTGATCAGTATCATTAACTGGAGTCTTGGTATGCTTTTAGTCCTTGTGTCCCCACACTCTCATTATCAAAGATGAGCAAAGAACTCACACATTTGAGAGAACATACACATTTGAGAGCAATGAAAATAAAAGGAAAAAGACCAAGTGGCAAAAATCCACTTACAATAAATTCCTGAGAAGCACTAGGAGGACAGCTGTCTTAGCTTTGTCATACCCTACCTATTGCTGCATGCATCTGTTAACTGTTTATATCCATACCTTCCCCCATTCTGAGACAGAGCATTGTGGCACAAATAACATAGATAACATGGAGCAATGGGAGGGGAGAGAAAAATAGACAATATATGGATAGCGTCATAAAATGTAATGGAGCATCAAGCTTTCAGCAGATTAGGCCATTACAAGCTTGAAGAGGATGCTTTGCTGTCCAGTACAAGAATGTCCTAGTCCATCAAGCAGACACTGGACTGGACATACAAAGTCCTAAGTACATACTTATTTTTCTTCTTCCCCATCACCTATAATACCTGGGATCTTTCTAGAGAAAAGAGACTACATGTAAGTAAGGGTAAATGATAGCACAGATAGACCCAGCCTCTCAAAGCCAACCTTTATTCTGACCTATCACAAGCTTGTTAACCATTTGCACAAGGTATGTGCCCCTGGGAATGGGGACAGAATAAAAGGAAGCAGCTACCTCATTTTGTGTTAGAGGCAAAGTTTTAGCCACAAGATGAATTCACATACCCAGTACATGTTTGCATCCAGGGCCAGGTAGTGTTCTGGACACTTGATAAAATCCTTTACTGGACCTGGCACCAGATTCTTCACTGTGAACCTGAGACCAGATGAACTGTTTCCACTGAATTAGACAGACTTTGCTCTATGCTAGAGGCTATTCCCAGGCAGAGAATTTTGGCATCTGAGATCTTACAACTAGACTTTATCCAGTAATGTCTGAATATCAAATCTCAAAGAACTATATTTTGACACGAAAACCATTTACTTCAGGGGCTCAACTGCTGCCCATAAGGGTCACCTAAGATCCTTAGGGCACATAAATAATCTAATGTATGAAAGTGGCTGGAGGCAATTACATTCGGAACTCCTAGCTATTCTTCAACTCTCACCTGTTTTTAGAGTCTCTTAACATATATTCCATACAGAAACATCTTCTAGATGATGTTCTGTAAGGTATCCATGGTAGCATTTATAAGGCCAATGGACAAGAATATACTATTATACCTTATGAAGCATCACAAAAATACTTTGTGCCAGACAAATCTACTGAAAGGGGGCTGCTGGATGAAGACTCAGAGGTGCAGTACAGTACCTCTCAGAATAGCAGGTGACATGTTATCCTCAGTCAAACCACAGGCTGCTAAAGAACATAGGGTAACAGAATATGGCACTTCAGATCTGCCATTAAGAATCCCTCCTCTCTTTCTTCCTATTCCCATGGGGTCTTTATTTATCATGGTATCTCTTTCCTTGTTCTCCCACTCTGTTCCTGATCCAGCTGGAACCTCCCACTCCCCTAAGCTCTCTTTCCCCCGACCCTTGCCCTCCATTACCCCCCTTCACATCCAGTTTGCTCATGTAGATCTTATCCGTTTCTCTGTCATTGGGTAATCCCTGTGTCTTTTTTAGGGTCCTCTTTACTAGGTAGCCTCCCTGGAGTTGTGAATTGCAGTCTGGTTATCCTTTGCTTTACATCTAGTATCCACTGGATCAGGCCCTCTGGATAAGTGAGACAGTTGATTAGCTTGAACTATTTAGGAGGCCCCCAGGCAGTGGGACCAGGACCTGTCTGTCCTTAGTGCATGAGCTGGCTGTTTGGAGCCTGGGGCCTATGCTGAGACATTTTGCTCAGCCTTGGTATAGGGAGGAGGGGACTGGACCTGCCTCAACTGAATCTACCAGGCTGAGCTGAATCCCCAGGGGAGACCTTGCCTTGAAGGAGGTGGGAATGGGGGATGGATTGGGGGTGAAGGCTAGGGGGTGGGAGGAGGGAGGACAGGGGAATGCATGGCTGATATGTAAAATTAAATTAATTATTAAAAAAGAATCCCTCCTCTCTGCACTGAGGACTGTGCAAGAAGTTTGCTGCTTCTTCTCTTTCTTTCTTTTTTTTTTTTGTTGTTGTTGTTTGTTTTTCAAGACAGGGTTTCTCTGTGTAACAGCCCTGGCTGTCCTAGAACTTGCTCTGTAGACCAGGCTGGCCTTGAACTCAGAGCGAGCCACCTGCCTCTGCCTCCTGAGTGCTGGGATTAAAGACATATGCCACCACCTCCCAGCAGAAGTTTGCTTCTTAAAAGGCTTCTGTATCAGTACTGGTAAAGCAAACTGAATGTATATCAGCCCAGATGTAATAGGAGGCCTACAGGAAACACTGTAACATAATGAGGAAAATAAAATTAAATATAGTAAGAGCTACCAGAGGAAATTTAGTTATAGTCCTCAAATCTTTACTACAAAAAGAAAACACATTTAACAAAATCATTTTGATTTGTGGGCACAGGGTAGTCTATGTAGCCTTGGTTGGCCTGGAATTACTATATATACCATACCCTGCATTTGTAGCAATCCTCCTGCTTCTGCGCCCAGAGTTCTAACAAAACTTTAAATTGATTCTATTTTAAAAGAACTACTTATAATGGCTAAGACTGATCTATTTTCACTTAAAGCACAGAAATACCAATGAGACTCATCCATTTACATTAGGCCCATGTGGCTAGGCCAGAATTCCAAACAGAGCCTAAAATATTGCATTCAAAACATTTTATGGTGAACTCAGGAAATTAGAACCATCTTAACTTGACCACAAGCTCATGATGTTCACAATTTGTTATGGGGAAACCTGAGAGTCTAAGTCAGTGCTGTACAATTTCTGCAGTCAATATTGTACTACTTTCTGCAGGTCTCTACCTGCAATATTCAGTTATAGCACCTGCTGGCCACATGTTGTCACTGAGCACCCACAGGTAATATGAGTGAGGAGCTACATTTTATGCCTTATTTTTAACTAATTGAAACTTTAAATAATCATATGTGGAGAATAAAGTGTAGATTCTTGAATAAACCCCAATTCCAGCCAGGTTTCCATATTGTCATCACTTTTTCTCTTCTTTTTGCTAACTCTCTGCTTTGTCAGTGCTAACACCCAGATTCCTGTTAGGGTCCTGTAGGGACACAACTCCAATTCCACACAATAAGTTAAACTCTCTTGAACTGAATACCTAGACAATGAAAAGATTGTTAACTTCATCAGTATGTGAAATAAGTTCCGAAATCCTCGAAAGTTCTTTATGGGGAACACTCATTATCTTAGAAAAATGAAAGATATGGGAGAATAAGAAAAGTCTTAATGTTCTGCCCTCAGTAATCACTAGTGAATGATTAAATTGCTGGCTCTTCAGGAATCTGGTCACTCATATGGTGACAAAAGATCACTCTCCTGGTAACTTTTTAATTGCATAAAGTGGCACTTGGACACTAAAAAGACCTAGGGTCAGAATTCTACGCTAGCTAACTGACCAAATGGGACATCACTAATAAAGGGACAGCTTGACAACATGGGCCACCTGAAAGGATACAACAAGAAATGTGTAACAATACTTTTACAGTATTTTCTGACAAAAATGATTTTTTCCCCCTTGTCATAATGAAATATCAGAAAAATCCCAATGATAGGACATTC